CAGTGCTCTCCAAACAAAAGGTTTACTATTGAACCTAAAAGAGTATCGAGAATTACAACCGTGTATCCACTCTTTAGGTTTCGTATGATATTCGAGATTCACCAGCCACTAAGTGTTTTGAAAGATGAATGGTCTCGTACGGCCACTTTGAAAAAAATAAAAATTGTTATAAAAGATGTTTTTCCGATAAACCTTCTTGTTGTTTTAGTAAAGCAATCCGAAATCTTTGCGAAAAGAAGTTATTCTTCGGATACGCTACTCCTATTTCGTCAACAGCTTACGAAACCGTATTTCATAAAAGGTTTATTGCAAAAACACGAAACACTAAAGATTTGGTAATGATCTTTTCTTAGAGAGTACATAATCCTGAACTATAGATATTAGTCGCCAATCTCGTGCCGTGCACACACCATTATGTTTGCAAGCACTTGATGCTATTCTATAAAAAATCAAGTTTTTTGTCCAAGTACACAAAACACATCTCAAGTATTTGTTTACTTGTACATTTTCGCAAGTACTTGCTCAAGCACTTATCAAGTAGTATTTTTGGGAAATACTTGCGAAGTTCCTATAATACTTGCCAAGTACCCGCAGACTTGTGCACGTACCCACTTGCAAGTATAGTATTTGTAGAATGTTCAAGATTTCACCAGTTTGAGGTTATCAAAATAGTCTGCATCAAAGTTATTCGGATTCAGCGTGAAAAAGTGAGCACGCTCAAGTAAGGATGAGCTAATTTTATCATGATGCTCTCCGTCAGCAAGCTCGCCTAGGACCGTTCAGGAGCAGAGTAGAATCTTGTTCTCGCAAACCTATGTGATCGTTTGTTTGAAAAACTATCACTCATTTTCATATATAATTTCGAATTGTCGTGAGACGGTCAACAAAAGTATAGCTCGGCTTTGAAAAATGTTGTTTCCTTGCTTCGAAATCAAGTCGAATGATGTATATTTTTTATCCTGTTCTACCATTTTAATTTTTTTGTATTGCGAGACGATTGTGTAAACGCTAGATACAAGAGAGAGTAGTAGCCGAAGTGTGCCCGACAATTAGAAGAAAAAAAGGAAGCAGAGAAGAAAAAGGTAGGGTGTAGCGCATTTTATAGGAGAACAAACGAATTACATCATCACTGAGCAACAGGCGTATTTTCTTGCAATAATACGACTGCATCAGCATCTACTAATGCTGATGCATGAAAGATGACAAGAAAATACCTCTTTATTCCTTTTGTCAGGCAGTGATAGCCAATTATTCGAATAAAGGACATTCGGAACGGTGAAGCATGAAATCAGATCGTCCACATTGAATATTGTTTTTTTTGCATTGTGTTTCTATTGTTTAACTCTCCACGAACCTTCGGTTCTACACAAGAATGCATTTTCGTCCTTGACATCACTGTAGGAAAATGGCGCCTGTTTGTTTTGATTAATTTGTACCAGTAGTGCTAGTGGATCATAACACGTTACTTTCGGTTCCTACTCTCTTAGAGTTTCGGATAAAATGTGGTAGCTGATATTACAAAAAACAATAACGGTCAAAGACAGAACTTAGTAAAATCGGTAATAAATGGTAAATTAGTTTATTGATTTATGTCGATAGATCTAAGCTGTGGACTATAGCTTGTTTTACAAAGGAGATGAATGAGATTTGAATAGTATTCGACTCAGATCTCTTGTTCCTGGACCGCAGATAAGTCCTCCATCAAGCCATGCCATTCTCAGTGTGGTATCACAATCAATTATATCGATGAATGACTGATTGATTCAAATTCCGAAAATCATGTAGTGAAAAGAATTGGTAACATTCAAAAACATCAATTATATGTTTTATCTCTCGTATTGATATAAACTCAATCAGACGTTTACTCCGCATTTCCCAACAGCGTGAAAAGAGAAAAGTGTCTTTATGAGTGTGTGCTTAGGAACTAGTTCCAAACGCGTCTTTTACGATTAAAATCTCTTTGTTTTGTATACTGCGTGTGTTTTACAACAAAATTTTCGCAAAAAGTTTTTTGGTTTAACAATGCAAAAAAATGATGAATCATCATAACTCTATGTAATATGAGTAGCTCTGGAATATGTGCAGCAGTATATTGACATAAATGGTACTTTTCCACTGAGAATTTACTTAAAGATTTCTTTAAGTGATTCCTCTTAGCTTCAAGGAGAGGGGCGTCGATGGGGGTGGTCCGCCGATCGAGGCGCGAGGGTTGCCTATGGGCGGGTTCGATGCATCTTGCAAAAATTTTTGTTTTGCAAAAAAGCGCAGAAGAAATTCATGCGTGTGATATTATGTGAGACACGGAAATTTACTACAGGTTTTCGCAAAATAACGGACCTGAATTCTTACAATTTTTTGCAAAAAAATCTCTTTAAATTTCGATATGGGCAATAAGAATTAAAATGTAGATAATTTTTTTCCTTCAAAAGTTAAATATTTAATCTATTTTTTCTCATTCAGTTAATGGCACAATCACTGCTAATCAATCAGGTACTTTTTCGTCAATGAGTACATGGGACGGTGTAGTACCCGGAGACGGTACAGTCATAATTATACCACCTGGTATTATCGTCTATATTGATGATGCTCGTTTAATTGTAAACCTTTTACAAATACAAATTTATGGTCAGCTCCAGATAGGTGGTAATTCATCAGCATCCACATTCACATTTACCTTTTCGATGAATATCGTCGTAGTGAATGGAGGAATATTACAAGATCGGACTTCGACGCATCAGTGGTACTTATCGAGAAATTCACTCATCACTATCAACAGCACCGATACATTTCTCTTATCATCAATTATAACAATTTATGGTTCCAATTCAAATAGTCCGACTTTGACAACGACAATCTATGGTTCATATACAGTCACTGTGAATTTATTTGGAAGTATTCAAAATTATACCAGTAAAACACTAGAAAACTATCTTCGATAATCTGTTTTCTATAACGAATTTTGGCTCGGGAAAAAGGAATTGTTGTTGTGGCCGTTCAGTCTGATGACTTTCTATCAAACAGCACTTGGATATGTGGTCTAGTTCCATCCAGCGCCAGTTGTCTAAATGGGTGTGATCTGGTGATATCGTCCGGAGTAAATGTATCGACATCTAGTTTAAACGGTTAATTATCGGTTAGTTTTGTTAATATTTACATATATGGTCTATTACAACTTGGTTCAACATCAAACTCCAGTCATTTTATATTCGCCTATTCAGTTAATTTATTTATATATTCCGGTGGTCGGATACGAGATTTAAGAAAAAACCGTAGTGGATTGAATTTATACATCAATTCTTTAATAACCGATTATAATGGTGGTCGATCGATTACACATGGTCCAAGTTATTTTTATTTTTATATTCAAATCAATATGTTTATTGGTAATATCACGTTGGGCACAATACAAGATTTAATTATATACGGAGCATACACATTGGTAGATACACTTAATGTTTTCGTTTATAATAACGGTGAGGAATGATAATCTTGTTTCAAGTTACAAATATTCATAAAAGAGTTGTTGTTTTATTTTTTTTATGTCAGGCTCATTAGTATACTAATGAACCTGGAAGGATGAAGACCTACTTGTTGTCGTTGTTCCTGTTGAACTACTTGTTATAACAAGTAGTTCAACAGGAACAGCGACAACAAGTAGGTGTGACAACAATAAGTGACGTTTCTCAAACCGTATATCATTAGTAGACAAAATTTGATTATTCTGTTCTTTTAGGTCCTAGCACCACATCTCGTACAACGGACACATCAAGACCACTAACTACTACTGGTAAACTAGTCTTATATCACAGTTTCTATAAATTATTGTACTATTTTTGCTATCTGCATAGCCCATGTTTTTTGTTGCACAATGCAATGCCGCTACTTGTTCATATAGAACGGGCTGTTCTTATGACATACGAATTTTCTGAGAAGTGCTTACAAGTAAATGGGTCATGGATGACCCATTGATCGCGAACGATATGAAAATGTAATATTTTTAAAAGTGCCAAATAAAAGATTGTCAAAAACAAAAATAAGGAATTCTATCATTTACTGAGTTTATTACAGTAGGTACCATATGCATCAGTTATCGAAAAATACGAAAATCATACCATGCAAGAGAGAAGTATACTGAATGCAAAATAAATCAATCTTAATAATAAATACTGGTGTAGTAATTGTCTAAAATTAGATAGTTTTATCACATGATTCCCCGGTATACTTATATATATATATATCCAAATGCATATACAGTAATGGATACAAGTACCCGAATTTCTGCACCTCTTAAGCTATCCAAAGGTTTTCTTTTGGGAAGGATGCGTAAGTCCCAAAAAAACTCCACTTGGTATGCTGATCTTATCTATTAGTTTAAACCTCCTGTGTTAGATTTACTAGCTATACAGTAGTATCTACATCAGCAACATATATATACAAGATCAAAGAGAAAACAGGTTCGCTTTTGCTCTCTTTTAGATAATAAATATATCACAAATATTTACATTTACACAATCAGTTTCAGAAAAGACAACCTGTTTGTTCATTTATCATGACTCAACCACGACAAATGAAAATTCCATTTACAAATGAAGAAAAAGTTTTAATGCAACGTTTTTATCTTCAATTTGGTTCGAAAAGTTCACGTAAAATCGCCCGTGAAATGACAAACAATTCACAGGTTCCGGTAGCAATTCAACAGATGTATGGAATTATGGAGCTAACAAAGTCAGCAAAAAGAATTTATGATCATCTAACGCGAGAAACGAAAAGTAACCAAAAGTTGTCTTTGATTCTTTAGATTTAGCCTATTCTATCCTATGCGTCACTTTAATTCCAGGGCTATTGTGCTTTCCTGTTAATCTCTAGCTTTAGTGGCGTTCCATGCTTTCGAATTGTGTTTAAATTAGGAGAATGCTTGTTTCTGCATTATTTTCAAAAGAATACATTATTAGGAAAATATAATGTTAGATTTTTATTAATACGCTTTTCTTTTTCTCTATTTGTAGAGCTGCCATGGTAAAACTCGCTCAACACATGCCATTAACGGATCCGACTCAATATTTTCATCATCAACAGCAAAAAAACACCAACGTCGCAACAACAATCACCACAATGGCAAGCTACACAACAAGATAGTCGATCCCATCAAGCAAAGGATCAAAATGATGAAAACTGCGTAGATGAAGATGAAGCAATCGATATTAATGAAGATGATAAAGTTTTCCGTGAAATACCGTCGCCATCTGATCCATCAGACTTAAATTGAAACCCATCCATTTTACTCCCTTTAATCTTTGATATTGACAGCTCTATATCTTAAAAACTAAAACGGCCCTTTTTGTGAAAAACATAGCAGTATAAACAAAACACTTTGTTCGAGGTGGTGTGTGTTTAAAGTATCAAAACTCTCAAAAACATTAACACCAAGGGCGTTCACGTTTGTAACTGGTGATCAAAAGTATTTCTTTCGACAACTACTAGTCACTGATGTCAGCC